AAAAAAACTAAAAAACTAAACTAAACTAAAACCAAACTAAACTGAGACCAAAGAAATCTATTCCCTGTTTTGAGAGAATTCCTGGGTTCGACTGACTGAGTCACTGGGCCTGCAGGGTGGTGGTGACACGGCCAGTGCGTTAGCATTGCCAACAGCAGTGGTGATGAGTTGGTCCACTTTCATTATCTAGCACTTTGAGCCATACTCAGAAAGGTTAATTTAAAAACTTGCCCCCTCCCAGACACATATTACCTCAATACATTTTTTAAAAAGCTATTAAATATTTCCTTCTTGTATCGTATTCTGAAATGAGCAGTTTCTCCAGACAGGGATCATCAAGCTTGATTAAACCAACAAAACTATCGTTCATGTTACTATGGGTAAATCCAGCCACAAATCATGTGATCCTATTATTTTGGGAAATAATAAATAACTGAATTTCTTCTAAAACAATAAACCATCACAGGCTACACACAGGCAGCATTTGATGCTGTCACCACATTGTAACTGTCCGAAATAAATGTATATTTTCCCCAGTAAGGTAAAACAGAAGGACTTTTCCCTTTCCCATTTCATTTTCCTTTGCTTTAGAGGTACGTCTAAAACGATGCACAATATATACAACTATGCCAATGAGACCAAAGTGTCAAATACCTTTCAACCGTATTTATCCTTTCTGCAGACTATTTAAATTAGGGAGCAAAAGGAGACCTGCTCAGAATCACCCAGACAGTTTTTCGAAATCATTTCTTTGATGTTTCTTTGTTTAGTTTAACCAAGTATTCTCAACCAAATCAGGCTCCATTGTGTAGGTTGCAGATGGGTTAGGGAGTGGGGGGGGGAGTGTTTTGAGCCTTTTGTTTTAAGAAACAAACACGTGATGCCTGTCTAACTGGGATGGTGGCTTTGGGGAGAGGAGAGTATTAATGGAGGGGAGAACTGAGGAGGGATGTGGAGAACACTGCTCCATAGTCGTCTGATGCACCAAGAGGTGAAAACAATTCTCCAAAATGGTATGTGTCCTCTTGGACTCCCAAGCAGAATTATGGCTTCCTGGGTCACCCCCACCCCTACAATTATTCCATTTCTCCAGAGATGACTTTGGAACTCATTTATCTTCAAAAAGGGCTCAGCAGCTTATGGGACATTCAAAGTAGGACCTGGTTTGGATGATCATAGCACATGTTTTTCTGTCCCATGTGCATTGTCATGCTTAACATCCAGCAGGAACCTCTGGAGCCCAAGAGGCCCTTGCACCTCTGTGCTGAAGCCCCAGACTCTAAGCAGCCCAAGCTTTCACCTGCCTTGTCAGGGGACAGGCCCACTATGGAACCTGCATGGCGGGGGGCAGTGGTGGTTGGGAGGGTACCTAGCTTGCCAGCACAAAGTACAAGAGAAAAAGGAAGTAGCTAAGGCAAAAGGAAAAACAACTAGCCTTGATTGTGATGACCCTAAACTATCAGCCCGTACATGCATCTGTTTCTCCTTCAAGATTTCATTTCTAGTGGTTCCAGCTTTCATAACTGGACCTCCAGAAATCGCCACTACATGCATAACACATAAACAGTTATATAAGTCGTGTCCAGCTAGTCCCGTTTTAAAGATGGAAACTCTCTCCCCCCTACCAGGATGCAGAGTGCCCCTCCCCCACCCCTCCCATCTCCCGGGGCACTCACTATTTATTTATTGTCTTTCTCATTTGTTTGTTTGTGGTTACCTGGACGTCTTCCATTCCGGGATGGCCGAGGCCGTGCAGCGAGAGGCTGTCACCCATGCCCGCGTCCAGGCCGTGGTGCGCCGAATGCAGCAGCACGTCTGGCCGGCGGACCGAGTGGTAGTCCCTCCGGGGGTCGAGGCCCGAGAGCTGGGGCAAGGCGGCCCGAGGCTGGGGCAGGAGAGAGCCGGCTTCTGAACCCACTTCTTGCCGCTGCCGTTGCCCCCAGGGATGCTGCTGGGGCTGGTGCAGTGGGTTCAGGGAGTAGGGGTCGTTGACGTGGGAGTAGGGGTCCTGGCTCTGGTGGTAGGGGAGCGGCTGGTAGGGAGGCGGGAAGTAGGGCGGCTGGAAGTCTGACGACGGGGTGTGGGACAGCGGCGGGGCGCTGGAGTAAGGTCCTTGAGACACCGAGCCCAGCTGTGAGAGCCTGGAACTGTGGCTCGGGACGCCATCGTGCCGGTCCTGGGAGCGGAGAGAAGGAGAGAGAGACAGAAGCAGAGAGACAGAGAGAGAGAGAGAGAGAGAGAGAGAGAGAGAGAGAGAGAGAAAGAAAAAAAAATACAAGCGACTAATGGAGAAGCCCCGCTTCTGTACATTCTTCCCAGGACAGGGGAAGCAAGAGTCTGAAACTTATACTCCCAGGTTGACTCAGAGGGCACATGATTTCAGCAATTCCAAACGCGAGGCTTTGAGGGGAAAAGTGGGTAGAATCACCACCCACTTAACCAACATCTGAGCCTGCTGTTGGGAGTGCAAAGCAGGCAAAAGGGGTAAGGGTCAAGTAACTGAATGTATGGGGGGAATTCTAAATTCCTTAATTAAAAATATAGGAGCCTCCCGTACAGTGTTTCCTCTTCTGGGTGTTTTAAACTATCTTTTCTAACTCTTCCAGAGGTGCAAAGCATAACAAATAAAACTTCATACTGTTTGCTCTGCTGCTGCTCCTGTTCCAAACCAACTTCTGCCTTCACTGGCAACCCAGCCAGCTGACCAAGTGCTCCCCACACAACCTGATAATTCCAGGAGCTCTGAGAAATCTGCCTACTCTGAGTTCCCAGTCACCCCTCCCTCCCCAAGAGGAATTAAATCATTTAAATACTGTTTGATTGAAATGGATCTCATTTGAAATTACATCCTGAACCCACGTTCCTTTAAGTTGAGTCGTGGTTCGAAGGAGTTATTTCTATGGTTGCTTTTCTGTATCTAATGCTATGATACTCCAGGGTGTGAAAATTAAGGACCTGGGGAGGGAAAAACAAGAAAAAGCCCAGACAACTTACTGTTGGTTCTGTCTGGAGTGGCAAACTGAGTGGAAGGAGAAGGGGGAGGTGTGTGTGTGTGAGAGGGATGTTTAAGTTTCTCCCTGTCCTTTGTGGAAGTGTTTTGGTAAAGTCCCCGTGATTCTTTTTTGGAGAAATTGTCACCTAAATTTCCAAACTGCAGTGGCAAATAAAAAGTTTTTCTCTGCGGCCTCCCCCCTCCCCAGCTGACTCATGGAGCTCAGACGGAGAACACACAATGCAGAGAGAAGCAGCTGCAGCCTCCTCCAATTATGGTGCTAAATTACCAAGCCAAAGGCGCTCAAAGGAAGACAGAGACAGAGAGAGTGAGACGCACGCACAGAGACGGAGAGACAGAGAGACAGTGAGAGGGGGGAGCATGCAATTCTGGTACAACGTGAATCCAAACTCACCATGGATGAATAGGTGTGGACTAACATCTGGAAAAAAAAGCCTGGTTACTGCTCAAAATCAAACAGTGATTTAAAAAAAAAAAAATCAAGGAGTCCAGCAGAGAAACGAGCTGGACACAGGAGCCGAGCTTCAGGGGTTTCCAGGACAAGCCATCAAAAAAAAAAAATCCCCCCCCCCAAACAAGATTGGCGATGCCTGTCACACACAGACAGAGCTGTTCATCGTGTCTCTTGCTGTCTTTTTGGCCTCTTTTCTTCTGCCGCTCTTCGGGGCTCCAGATGCAGTCCTCTTCCACCCGAAGCTGGGCTCAGACTGCTCCAGCGCCCCTTCCTCCCTCCGCTTGCCTACACCGCCTCATAATAATTGATATTCATGACTATTAATATTACACGAGTACTTTAAAGGGAGAATGGAGGACAAATGGAGCGTGAAGCAGCAGCGAGCGCAGAGCTCCCCTACTATTGTAAATGACGTTCATTCAGTGGAGAATTACTAGATGTAATCAGACGAGGGGGCTGGCAAAGGCAGACTGGGGAAAAAGTTTAGCAGGAAAGAGGCAGAACTTCAATTAACTGAGCCGGGGACACGCGTAAGGCAGCCCCTGCTACTTTGGACAAGGCAGTGAGGGAGAGCATCGCTGGGGGCTTGTACAGAATGTAGGTGTCCTTGTTCCTGGAGAGGGACTTTCCTAATGGGAAGAACTGATCGCCCTAGGTGCTTTGTGTGCAGATTAGAAAAACAAAATAGAAAGGCGTTGCCTCATCATTTGGAGGGGAGAGAAAAGTAAACCGGTGGGCCTGGTTGTTTACAAGTGACGTTTGCAGATTTGCACTGAATATTGGAGATTATGCTGATTTATTAAAGGACTGGAGAGAGATAGGGCTTTTTTTTCATCCCTTGTGTGACCAGTCCCTTTTCACTGCTCAGTCTGTGATTTTTACCTCAATTTAAAATATATGCAATCAATCTCCAAGTACACTAAAAGTATCCTTTCCAGGCAAAGCCAGGGGCAACAGAAAACCTTCTGGGATGTTTCAGGAACCCGTTCAACTGGCCTGACTGCCATTTCTGTTAAAGTTCAACCTTCCTCCGGACTTGAAAAGGTTCCTTCCACAGGGCTGCTGGTTCTCCTATAGTTTTGATCAGAAAATTTAGCCAGATAAGGGTACCTGCAATATTCTCTCTCCTCCCTCTCTTTCCCTCGCTCTCACTTCCCCTCTCTTCTCTCTCTTCCCTCCTCCTTCCCATTTTGGTCTCCTCTCTCTACCCCTCTTGCACTCCACTCCTCCCTCTTCCTCTTTCCCTCTATTCTTTCTGCTCTCCCTCCCTCCTATCTCATTTAGCCAGTTTACTTTCCGTAAGCAAAGAACAAGTTTTATCCTGCTTACTTTTGGGAACCCACTGAAATCCCTCTATGTATATTCCGAGCTGTTCACACACACCATGACCCCATCTCCGTGAGTGTCATGCTCACTTCGGGCGCTCACATTCTTTAAGATAGTTCTAGCGCCTTCGACTTTACCATTATCCCGCCTGTTAAAGAAAGAAAAGGAGGCCGAACCGAAACAAGCCCCACCAGGCGGAGGCGCGGCTCTTCGTTACAGTCGATACACCGCCACAAAGAGGAAAGGAAAACCCTCATCATCTCTCTGTCTCTCTGTCTCTCTGTCTCACACACACACCCACACACACACTTAGGGTTCCGGCCCGGCCGGAGCTGGGGGCACTGGCTGCCTGCGGGACGGGACGCGGCGGCCGGGCGGCGGTGGGGCCGCGGAGCCCCAGTCCGCGGGGGTGAGGCTGGGCCCGCGGCGTCAGTCGGGGCTTAGCGGCCGCCTCTGTGCGCGGCCGGTTCCCTGTATCCGCCAGGCGCCTCCCGGCCGGGCTTTCCAGAGTCTTCCCGGAGTGCCGGGGTCGCATTTTCTCCCCCACCGGCTCGGGGCACCTCTGTGCGTCCCACCGCGACCTTTCCGTACGACCGAGCGAGCGCTACTTGGCGCCGGTCGCCCAGGACTTGGCTTCCCGTCCTCCTCCTCTCTCCAGCACTTTCTCCATGACGTGGTCTCGGTCGCCCGGCTCGCCAGCTTCCCCCTGCCCCCTTCCCTAACTCTGCTGGCCCTCCTCCAAGCTGCCTTCCGTCTCCTCCCTGACGTTCTCCTCGAGTCTGCTGTTCTTCCCACGGCTCCCAAGTCGGGGTCTGCCATTCATTTCTGGATGAGGCTCCGCGGGCCTTCGCCGTCTCTATCCCCGTCACCCAGCCAGCGCTCAGCCTTCGCCCGCCTCGCCAGCCTGCCCGCCAGCCCCGGAGGCCGCCCGCCAGCGTCAGCCGGCATGAGGCCGACCAGAAGCAGCGAAGGCTGCCTGGCCTGACCCCGGCTTGACCACGGCCTGGCCCCGCAGTGCCGGGCACTTCCCCGCCTAGAAGAGTTCATGCCAACCCCAGCGCTGGAGAGCCGCGCATCAACAAGGCAGAACACTCGCGTTAAAATACCCCCAAACGGGGTGTTGGACGCACTGATGACTCTCAAAAAGCAAAACACAAGGAAAAAGATTTTTTAAAAAAGAAAAAAAGGTCTGGTTTAATACCTTAGCTCTATCGACACCCATCTAGCTATCTACCTCCCTCCTTCTAATTTTCCGTCCTCTACTTGGATCCGTTTGTTAGCGATTTCAGAAATATTATTGAAAATAAAAATTAAAAGCCCGAGTCTGTTACGAATGAGGCTTGAACATCTAATTCTCTCCTACACTCAAACCCAGGAGAGCCTCTGCCTTGATCAGTCTCTATTTTCTCTGCCCACGTTGAGTAGCACCACATTCCCCATCAAAGCCTAAGGGGGGGGGGAGCGAAGAAGAGGGAAAAATAAAAGAAAAAAAAAAAAAAAAAAGAACGAAAAGAGAGAAATTTCCTAACTTTAAAGTAGCCAGATTTCAAGCTTAAAGTCCCTTTTTCCGAATAGTGAAGTCTCTCCCCCAGCCAGCTTTTCTAAAAGTTAGAGAAAGCTGAGAAAACCGACCGGAAATCTACGACTAAATAGCTGAAAAATATATATCAGTTGGGGTGTCAAGAAGCTCAAATTCTGTATCTGCAAAGCTCTAAGATGCATCTGGGGGTGTCGGCTCACCTCATAGATATCCTCGTACTTGACATTCTCCACGAGCTTCCAGAGCATGATGGCAGCCTGGTCTCTAGGAGGTGAGTGCATTCATGTGAGGAGCAGATGTCTGGCTTCTCAGGACTCCGCTGTCTGTAATGATCCATCTATAATTGGAAATGGGGGATACACACCAAATCCGACGCTCCTCTCCCATCGCAACTTATATCTGTTGTCTCAAACAATAGGCTGGAGAAGTAAGCCTCAGCAGAGGGAAAAACATTGTTACACACACAGGAGTTAGATGCAACCCACAGACATATATATTATAAAAATCATAAACACGTATTTACACCCAGACACCCACATTGAGTTATATAAGCACCCCTGGGTCACGCAGAGTCTACAGACTCTAAACATGCATTTAAAGGAGAGATAGGCGTGCAGTGTGATTAATAGAAACATACACATTTAAAAACCTCTATATGGAAAATGATGAATCATTGTAGCCACTGACTAAAGTCTTTACAATTCATAATGAGAAACCAGGGGACCAGCAGTCCCCCATTTTCTATGTAGATTTTAAAAGGGGGACCATTACTGAGATTTTTAAACACAAAAGCTCCTATTCATGTGTGTTCAGCAGGAGGGTATTTTGAAAGCTGGATTTGGGGATTTTTTAGGGCAATTTCTCTGTATTGATGTCTACAAACTTTTTTTTTTTTTAAACTGTATCTCTGTCCGAATAGAACCAAAAAAGCCAGCTCACCACAGTGACCATTTCTAATATTTTTTGGTCATTTTGTCCTACATGTTTGGAAGCTTAAATACTGTATGAACACCTCAATCTGTCTTGTTTGTCATTTTAAGGGTTATTTGTGTGCATTTTCAACGAATTCCATGTGCCATTCTTTTCTTGTTTAGAGTCTCCACATTATGAAGTTTTGGTTTTTTTTCAGATGTTGGGAACAACACATGCAGACATTCACACAATCTTAATTTCGAGCCTTCTTTGTAGAGACATAGGACATTATATCTGCATCTGTTGTCTGTAACTTTTAAGTGGTTTTAATCATGGACAGTCAACAAATGGTCACCTGAACCCTTGGAAGATTTAAGCAGGATGTTCTTAAAAGAAATAGTGAAAAATATTTTAGTATGTATGGATTTTGTTTGTTTTTGTTCTGAGTGGTTTTTTTTTTTTCCTTAGTGAGGTGAATTGTCTAGTTTTTTTTTTTTCCAGAAGGAAAACATAAACAACAAACAACAATAACAAAGTTAACCAAACCTTGAAAACGGGAGCCCTAAAAAGGCACAAGGTTCACGAATTTCATCCCGAAGCGAATACTCACCTCATTCCTTTTTCCCACCCCCTCTATTTTTCTACTCCCTCTCAGGGTACGGAAGGATTCCCACAGCCAGAAGGGAAATCCAGTGGAGGATCCCTGCCCCCGGGCAGAAAATAAATGACAGGAGGGAATGAGGAGGGACGGGGCAATTTGGGGTGGAAGTTATTAAACCTGATAAGAGTGAATCTGCAAAGGGCGATTGTCTGTAAATCTCACGACTGCTGAGCGCTACCGTGTGCGCGCGGGGAAGGACGCTCTTCCAGGAGAGGGCTCCGGACAACCGCGGTGGATTCGATAAAAACCAAGGACAAGCTCCATACAATCCAGACCCAACAATTCTGTAGGTTTTAAATTTAATTTCTTAACGATAAGTCAAATGAAAGGAACACCAAAAAAAGGTGCTTCAGAAAGAACTTCAGGAAATAAACCCTTTCTTCATTTCCAGTTGTAATTTTCATGTTCGGTCTTTCCTTTTCTCCCTCCTTCCTTTCCTCCCTCCCTCCCTCCCTCCCTCCTCTCTTCCTTCCACCCTGTTACTCTTCCTTCCGTCCCTCCTTCCTTCTTCTTTTCCTCTACTTTAAATATTAACACCTTAAACCGTACAAAATCTATACCGATTTCCCGCTGGGAGCATGAGCCAAGATTTTCTTCTTTGCCCCCAGAGCTGGTTTGGACATGGGAAGGCATTCTTTCTAATTTTATTGTGTGGTAGGACTTGAAACAGGTTTGACCATTCCTTCCCACCCTTTCCATAACTAAAATCAGTCCCAGATCAATATTTTGCAAGACAAATATTATAGATTTGGAAATTCAGGTGCTTTAGACACAAATTTATTAATGAGAATAATTGTCTTCTTCCTTCAAGTCAATAACTCCATTATCTATTTAAGTCTAAAGATCATTTCAACCCAAATAGAAAGCATTTGAAAAAAATCTTAATTTTTTCCTCTGAAACCTTTTAAATATTTTTTTGGTATGTCATTGATTAGTCTAAAGTAAATAAACTCTATAGCTTAAAACAAAACAAAACAAAAACCCAAGAAAGATACTTTATATGCAAAACTACTAAAAATATATGTTAGTGTATTTCATAGCCTTATATATGTCTAATTTCAACATTTGCATATGTAATTTTATTTTATGCTAATATTAGATATTTTTAAGATTAGGAACATCTTTAAATATTTGGTTAAAATTTATATAAATTCTTTAGGAAAACTGAAAGAAACCAAATCTGGTTTATTAAGAATGAAGCATAAATTTAATAAATAATAAAGAATGAAGCATAAATATAAAGGGATACGCAAAGAAGTACATAACGATAATTAAAACCCGAGTCAATTTTTCAACATGGGCATTATTCAAAAAATCCTAGAAATTGCAAGGGAAAATTTTCCTTCGGAGTCTTCCGTAGGTCATCGAACGGGCAACAGCGCCCTCTGTCGGGATTTTATACAAGCAAATCCTGCGCGGCCGCTCGATTTCTTTTTTAGCGATTTCTTTCCATTCTTGAAAACCTGTTATCGCTTAAAGCATTTTTAAAGTTCAACTCTTAATATATCTACTAATTTTTGAAACCACTGTTTCAGGATCTAAAAAGTTCAAACGTCTCAAAAAATGTACAACTGAAAGCTCGATCACTGCTGAGACAATTTTCCTTACTTGAGCTTGCTTTTCTTGCTCTTAACTGTTGCATTTCGCTTTAACTTCCAGTCACATGGTGTAGGAAAAGATCTCCTTTTAATAAATGCAAAACAAAGCAAACGTAAAAGCAAAACACTCTCTTTTGGAATGGGAGATAAACGAGTAAAATATGCATTTTCATCATTTCACTTTTCATTTCGTCTTGCCTTATGCCTATATTTCTTTTTCAGGGCGCGCACACGCTCGCTTAGGTAAAAAGCTTGCTGGAGACATCCAAAATAGCTATATTCGTATTTTACCCTTTCACTTATATTTATTTCCGTTTATAACAGAGGAAAGGACAGTTAATAACGCCCTCCTCTTCTCAGCCTCAAACGGAGGATTATCCATATATGCAGGAGGCGCTAAGGGAAAGCTAATGCACCTAGGATAGAGCCCTCTGCTGGCGGTTTTCGGAGTAGGTTTAAAACTTTTTTTTTTAATGTTGTTACCTAAAAACGTCATTATATTAAATCAAGATCAACTATTAGTACTCTCATATTTTCTTTTTTCTAAAAACATAATTATGTATTATCTAATTTTCATAGACTTCCTTCGTTCCCTTATTCCTCACCTTGGCACCTACAGTTTAAGGTTCATAAACTATCTCCCTTTGCAGCTGCCTGATGGGCTACTTTTTCTTTTACACATTACATGGGCTGCCTGGGTTTCCTTTATTTTTATCTTCCACAAACACAAAAAATAATAAAATGGAAAAAGCAAAGACGTAGAATTAGGATTATTGTTTCAAGTCAAGACGCTGACCCTTATTCTAGGTGGTGGGGCCTTGCATAAGCTCCCTGTTGGAAAGTGGAGGTGGGAATCCCAATTCAGGTCTTCAACTATGTCCTCAGCACTTTCCTAACAGCACCATGATGCTGTCTTCCTTCCTTCCAACAGTCCTTCTAAAATTAAGAAGACTTTATTTTTGGATTAAGTTTTTGCAGTTATTCTTGTCCTGGATTTACAAACAAGCAAAGGAAGAGAAAAGGGAGCATTGACTTACTCTGACATACCAGATTCTACCCCCACTTATTACCCATCAGAACCATTATTGTCCACTGAGTGGATTAATAAGACATGACAGTTGCACTGTTCATTAGTGACAGTCTGACTCTATTTTTCTAACATGTTTCTAGAAGTTTTTTCATGATCATATTCTTTCAAGAATCTTGCTTTTCTGTGTATGTGTATATATATTATATATTATATATTATATAT